GATTAATGTGACCTGCCTCCCAGGTTAATGTAAGTATTAAGTAAAATAATAACTAAATTATTTAACACAAGACCTGCTAAGAATGAAAACTCCATAGCAGGAATCTTCTTAAAATGATTTACTGTTAAAAGTCTAGTACTTCAAAAAGCACCTGGCACCTGGTGAGTAACAGGCCTATTGAGTAAATGTGTGAATGAATGAGAGATGATAGTGATGGTGGCAGGGGTGGTAAACATGAAAGGAAGAACAGCGTGTGTTGCAATCCACATCTTTGTGTCCAAAGTTGTTTGATGCCTTTATTTAAAATAAGCCACCCACACGTGATCATTACTCATCAAGCCAAACTATCACCACATTTCTGCTGAGAGCTGCCCAGTTGTCCTCCTGGAGTGACCTATGTTCCAGGCTTCCTGCTATCAAGAGGATGCCTGAGCAGCCAACAGGTTCTGTCTTCAGCACCAAGACCCTATGCAATGCTGCTGGCCACAGGCTCCACCTCCTGTTCCATGAGCATCACAGGGACAGAGGGGACCACACTGCAGAGGTACCAGCAGTTGTTGCCATGAGTCTCAGTCTCATGGGTCACATTTTCGCTTTTACAAACTTTTTCCTGAGCTAGAGCTTGTCCGCAGTGATTCTACATTGTCAGAAAACAGCATTCCACACAAATGCTGCTGAAGAAGGAAGCACAGCCTACGTGACTCAGTTAAAAAACTTAATATTTAATATGTCGATTCCAACCAATGCAGCCAAATCTTCAAACAAGCAAGCAGAAAGCACTGATGAACACAGTGTGTTAGTAACCTGGGTCCCACCACCTCACACTCCCATTACAAAGGACTACCTCTGAGTAGTTCCTCTCTGTGGAACCGCTTTCCCTAAAACTACATTACCACTTCTGTGGACCCTGTACTACGCCATCATTAAAATGTTTCCAATCATTCAATGGCTATGGAGTAAACGAGAACAAAACAAAGAGTAAAATTAATTGCAAGGTGGAGATGTTTGAAAAGTCACTGTTAAGAAAATTCAAGATGACAGTACTAGCATGGTGCATTGCTTTGAAGTTACAGTAAATCTATCTTCCATAATATAAGATTTTTCTAAGTGTTTCAAAGGCAGTAAGTTTTCAAAAATATTTTAAGGGCATCAATTATCAGGGAAATGAGCTTTTACAGCATAAGTATTTATAAAATCCAAATGTTGGCTTACATTGCACAACAAGCAAGCCGCAGTAATTCAACCAACTGATTATTTTTGCAAGAGGGAGCACATATTAAGTGACATAAAAATTAAGATTTGCAATTAATTCTTCATAAAAGTTTTCCTTTACAGTGATTTTTTTCCGTATGTCATTACATCCTAATTAAATATATAGCACTTTGACAATTCACAAAGAATAATAACGATGCATTCTGAAATAGAATAAGTAGTGATAAATGATAAAATGTGTATTAAAGTTCATGCTACCAAAAAGAAATCTACAAAAAGAGTTTTCCAGTAAAGTAAAAACAAATTTCTGTTTGAAAAAAATCATGCCACTAAATCTTGGCTTATAAATATAAGCCACCAGATACATCTCATTACAGCCTTTTGGAGGGTCACATTGGAACATTTAAAAAGTACAAGTAGGGCCAGGGATTTGGCACAGTGGCACCTCACCTACCTTGAAAATGCAAGGTCCTGAGTTTGATCCCCGGTACCAAAAAAAAACATACAAGTAATCTGCCCAGATTTACATTTTCTATCCAGCCTCTCAGTCAACTCACAGTATCTTTTTTCTATGGCTAGAAGTGGAACTAATTAAGCAGAAAGGCTCCTAATAAATTTAATTCAGAGAATAATTGACTCTAAGTTTCTGAAGAGACCAGAGAGGTCATCAAAGGTGCCCAACCTGCCTTCTAATTTGAGAACCTCCCACAGCATCCGGACAGATGGTCGACTCTCTCTTACTTAAATGTACTGACCAAAGAGCAGTTCAAGTTGTGTTAGAGAGCACACTCCATGGGGAAATAATAAGTAGCCGGTCTGTAGTCGAGGACCGCTTCCAGCAATGTCAATCCATCATTCTAAAACGTCCATTAATCAAGTTGAGTCTTTCCACCATTATCAACACACATGCTGCTCCTCTCTTCCACACACCCACCCTCTACCCACTAAACACAATGCCTCTGGTTCTCCCTTGCTCACTCTCCAGCCCTGCTCTGCACTCCTCCTGGTCTACCTTCACCAGGAAGCCACAGTCACTCTTACAAGGCAAAGCAAACAAAGCCAGATTATGTATGCTCTTCCCTAGAAATTACAATAGAGGGTCCTAAAACTTCCATCTGTGCCTCAGAGGGCACAGAGCCCACTCTCTCAGACACAGGTCCGTGTGTCTGGGCCATGGAGTCCAGGAGGGTTGGAGTCCACTGGAGAAAGCAGAAGGGAAAGCAGTTCCAAGGTCCACATGTGTGCAAGAGGCCCAACAACTGATGTTAGGGAAAGAAGGGGAGCTGTGCTGCCAGGCAACTGTTCTCCATGCCCACAGAGGACTGAAGGGAGGAAGTGAGCTGTGTCTGAGACACAGGGAAAATTTAACCATCCAGATTAGTGGTTACACTCAAATACCTCCAGGGCTATTCAAAATGTCTGAGTGAAACAAACCTGAGTACTGTATTAAGACACAAAAACCACTTGTTTGCGAATTAGATTTGTACAAGTATCCTTCTGCATGCACACACAAAATGCTCTATTTTTCTTGAAATACGAAACCCTGGAACTATCATTAATTTTTCCACTACTACTGAAGACCCTGATAAAATAATTTTTTCCATGTTCTTCTAATATTAATAGAAAACAAATTGAGTAAACAAAAAATGGCAACTGACGCTTCTACTGGCGAGACTACATGGAGTAGAGGAGACTGCAGAGATTCTCTGAGTTTTGCGCCATCACTACTGTCCAGCTGAGGAATCTGAGGCCAAATCAAGCTCAGTAATTTGCTGAAGGCCACACAACTAGTACATCTGAAAAACTGAAATCAAGTCTGCCTGGTACTAAAGAGGCAAGCATTGCTATACACATAGAAAACAGCTGTTTGCTATCAGTTTTATTATTACTGATTAAAAATATAATCTACTATAAGGAAATCTATTCTTTTAAGTGATCAAGAATGGACTTTTCGGCCAGGGATATAGCTCAGTGGCACAGTGCCTGCTTGCAAAGGACAAGGTCCTGAGTTCGATTTCCAATACTCCCTCCCCAAAAAAAGAATGGACTGTTGTTTCCAATGCAAAATAAATAAATGTAATACAAAAAAAAATTTCCAGCTTGTGTCATTCTTATGAACAGTACCAAACTGTATTATTTTTAAACCATGTTGGTAGATGAAATATATAAAAATCTGAATATATACTAAATAAAATAGCAGAAAGTAATATAACATACATTGTATTAACATACTGTTAACATATATTAACATACTTATTCACTCTGAGAAAAATACTTTTATTATCCCCATTCCACAGAAGAAACTGAGGCACCGAGAAGTTAAATATTCTGCACAAGATCACTAAGCCAGGAGATGCCAGAGACAAAATTCAAAGAACTCAAGCAGTCTGACTGCAAATAAATCTAGACTTTAGGTTCTTCCTTAAAACACCTCTCCAAAGCGAACTGGATATTCTCTTTGAATATCTCAATGTAGATGATAAAAAAGTCAGTCAATACAAAGGTTAGCAATTACCAAAATTTCTAGCTCTAATGTGTATATTTGCAAATATACCTTGAAACATTAGGCAGTTTCCTGTTCATATATGCAATACACATTAGACTTGTTAATTCTGTGAGATAATAATTCACACTTTAAAAAACTATTAAATAGGGGCCAGGGATTTAGCTCAGTGGTTCTACCGCCTGCCTCGCAAGCAGAAGGTCCCAAGTTCAATCACCGGTATCCCCCCAAAAAATAAACTATTAAATAGGCAACTGAATCTTTACCGAGCAGTTTCCATAAAGAGCTTCATTTAACTGTTAAACACATACATTCAAATCAAAAATGATCTGCTGTGTACCTAGCACCATTCTGGGCTCTGGAAATAGCGAGCGAACCAGATGGACAAGTTCCCTACCCTGCAGAACTTGTGTACCCATGGAAGTGGAGATGGATACAGAACTACACAAAGAAGACTACTAGGGATGGCAAGCACTTTGCAAAGAACTAAGACAGGATGATATAACAGCTGGCGGCCTTTGGATCACAATGGCAGGATGGTGAGAGGCAAACCCTTGAACTGGACCCAAAGAGCGCACACAACACAGCCAAACAGAAATCGGGCAAACTGTTACCTGGAAAGTTTCTCCTTCCTAAGTGCTTCGGCAACACAAGCATGAGCCCCAGAACCTGCAAACTTCCACTACCGGTAACCAATTGGTAGCCATTCCAAACACTGCCTGGGAACTGTCAGCCTTTCCCACATTTGTGTTTACCAGCAACCCCAATTCATCTACTGGGAAAAGACCTCCACGGTACTGAGAGAACTTTAGGGTCAGTCTCACCTTACCTTAGTAGTTCCTTAATGTTCTGATCTGCTGAACTTACCTGATCTTACGACTCCAACTAGAAAGTACACACTCTAGATGTGCTTGAACAGAAGGTCCTACTGGTCTGGAGTTTATGTGTGCTCAAACGGTTATCTGACATATCAGGGATGGAAATTAGAACTTCCTGCACTGCATCTTCTCCAAGGCCCCAGAGGGTTGGCCTAAGAGGTGCCCCACTGAGCTGATCATACACCAGAGTAAAGCCTATTTGTAATAACCTACTCAGAATTGGAGATTGGTGACCTGCAGGATCCTCAATTATAGCACTGAGAAATCTACTTTGGGTTTCCCCACCCAGATCCTTGTACAAAAAGCAGTTAACAGCTACATGGGAATGTGTGGATTTAGCAGAGAGACACACTGACAATGACACTGACTTTTACAGTCTTTAAGACATCAGAGTGCTTCAAACTCACCCGCACAGGAAGTGTGGATGCGGGACGCTCAGTGTGATCATTCATTCATGCATTCATTCAGAATGAGCTGGCTTAAAGGGTATTTTGGTCACTCAGCGACACAGCCCTGGCAAAAGAAAACAAAAATACAAGAGGTAGTAAGAAACAATTTTTCAAACTGGAATTTTGTAATTAAAGTTTAATTTCTCAGCATTCTGCTATCTCTTGCAATGGATGCAAAATGGGAGAATCAATAAATCAGTCAGGTCTGGTGGCATAGACCTGTAATTCTAGCACTCTAGTTGGTTGAGGCAGGAGGACTACAAGTTCAAGGTCAGCCTGGGCAACTTAGTGACTTAGTAAGATCCTGTCTCAAAACAAAAGGTTAGGGATATAGCTCAATGTGTAGGCCCTGGGTTCAATGGGAATGGGGTCAAGGGTTAAACAATAAACTTTGAAGAAAACAGAGGATCTTCTCCTAACACCTTAACTTGTGAAACAGACTTACTGCTTCATTCTATAACTTCACATGGTTAAGCCACTTTATAGACATACATGGAGAGAAGGAGAGAAGGGGAGAGGGAGGGAGGGACAGAGCAAGAGTGAGGGAATGATACAGACAGTGATAGACAAACAGATGTGCAGGCAGGCAGGGTGGCCTACTACCCCAGGAGCTGGAAACAGATGTGAATTCTTAAGAAAGTCTCTGCTCTCACTGGGAATGGGGAAAAGTAGTCAAAAACAAATAGAGGGGGAACATATGAAAGAAAAAAATCCTAGAGACGTGCAGAGAGGTGAGTAATGAGATGGTAAGGAGCGACAAAGAGCTAATTTTAATTCAAAGACTGGAAAGTGGCTCTTTGAGATGGCCAGTGGGTCTGGGTTAGGGAAATGATCCCCTGGGCAGAAGGACAGGCCAAGACCCTAGTAAAACCCAGTATGGATCGTGAAGCAGAATCCAAATGCAAGTGAGTAGAGTCAAAGGGTCAAAGGAAAACAGCAATTTAATTACTATTAAACAGGTACTTTCTAGGTTTTCCATTATAGACAGTAATACCCTCTTTGTATGTTTGACATGCTCCCCAGGGATGTAATAAAATGCCAGAGCCCATTAATCAACATACTAGAAAGTACCTTTTTTATTACTCAAAATGTGAAACACTGCCATCGGAGAGAGACTTGCCTCTCCTCACCCCCAATGTGGACTGAACCCAGGGCCTCATGCATGTTACTCAAGCCTCTAGCACTAAGCTACACCCCAGCCCTTTTATTCTTGAGACAGGGTCTTAGCTAAATTGCCCAGGCTGGCCTCAAACTTGCAATCTTTCTCCCTTAGTCTCATGCCTGGGATTACCGTCATGCATCACCATGCCTAAGACATCTCTTTTTGTAAGGCATGATATCACCTCTTAGATGTACCTAAGATACAGGTGACATACCCCTTGTCCAAAATGCTTGGGATCAGAAATTTTTCAGATTTTTGAGGTTTTCAGATTATGGAATATTTGTACAGACTTTTTCCAATAACCGTATATAACTGGAAGATCTAAAACCCTCAACTTTTTGAATGTCAACGTGACGTTCAAAATTTCAGATTTCAGAGCATTTCAGATTTCCGACTAGGGTGGTCACTCCTTCCACATTATGGTAGCAATGATGTGCTGTGGAGTCACAGTCCTCCATAAAGAACACAGATTTTGGAACCAGCAGAGAGAGGTTAGTGTTTGAACCCCAGCTTCCACACGACCACCTGAGTGAGCTCAATCTGATTATTCAGATTGTCTGAGTCTCTGGCTTCTTCAACTATAAATTGGAAATGCTACTGTTCACCTTAGAGCATTATTCTAAGTACTCAATGAGATAATGCATGAAAAGTACCTAAAGTGACTAAAACATGGGAAATGCTCAAAGCAGCAATAAACCACTGCTAGACTTTCACTGTAAGTAGTCAACACTGGAAAATGTTTGATTACCACAATGATTCTTGTTACAGAACTACATCTATATAACTAGGCTTAACGCAGACAATTTTCATTTATAGGGTCACAGATGATCCCTTAAAACCAATCCAATTGCCTCACTCTAGGGGTGAGAATGTAAAGCTGTAAGAGATAGGCTGATTTGCCCAAAATGACAAAATTAGTTCAGAGAAACATTATAAAACTCTGATCTACTTAATCAAGAATGCCTGCTTTATGGAATAAATCTCATATTGACATAAAATTTAATTCATTTTGTCATTATCCTAGGATGGACACAAATATTTTAAATAGAAACAGAAACCTGAACCAAGCTTGCTGAACTCTTATCACACTGACCATTTTTTAAAACTAAGAATTGTCCTTTTACTGATGGCCTGATAGTTGGATATTTACTAACCAAAATACTGTAAGATAGAATATCTGCTACATTCTAATTTTCCAATGATAATCTTATGTTTCAAGCATGTCATTATGTGACAGCTTCCTACACATTCATTCCAGATGCCTTTCTGTTTCATGAAGGTGATGGGTTTGTATTTTCCATGCTTTCGCACATACTATTCTCTTCTGGGAAGGCTTCCCTGGAGAACCCCTACTTACCCTTTATGACTCAGCTTAAGTGCCAACTCTTCTAGCAGTTGTCCCTGATTACCTTCATTCCCCCAAACACATCCCTCCCTCCTCCTCCTCTCCACTCTGGCTAATTGCCTTGCCTTGTGATTATTTTTCACATGTCTCCTTTCCTTTGATTTTTAATTGCTTTGAAAGTGAAAGATTCGTTTTTATCTTTTTTCCTAGTGTCCAGCACAGTTCCTTACACATGGGTGTTTAATATAAGTAGTATAATAAATAGGTTTATGGAAGAACTGATTCATCAAATTGCTAATATGATAGAATTTCATTTTAAAGTAGCCTGCTCTTCTGTCACACCACCATCACCTAAGTTAAAAAGAAAGGAAGTTACAGCTAAACTGCTTTATGGTTTATATTTAGATGTCCTCCCAGGACCCTCATGTACTCACAAGTTGGGATTTTGGAAAGTGAATGGATTAAGGAGGCTCATAGCAGGCTTGGCATTAAGAGGCAGGGTTTATTAAAAAAAAAAAAAAAAAAAAAGGCAGGGTCTGTCGGAAGAGATGGGACATTGGGGGCGTGGCCTGGCTCTATCTCCCTCCCTGGCTCCTCCCTTCACTCTCTGCTTCCTAGTCACCATGCTGTGAACAACTCTCCTCTGTCATGTCCCTGTGCCGTGCCATCCTACTTTGGAGTTAGCTGACTATGAACTGAAACCTTTACAAACTGTGAGCCAAAATAAACCTCTCCTCCTTTAAGCTGTGGGTGTCAGGTACTGTATCTCAGTGACAAGAAAGTGACTGAGACAACTATTAATCATTTTGGATTGGAACTATTTTGGGCTGGATTCCAGAATGCTTAAATTCAAAGTGCATTGACTTCAACTCTGCACATTTTACAGCTGAAGAAAGTGTGACCCTCCCTCAAAATTAGATTTGCCACAAGGAGAATGGAAAGAACTAAAAGTAAAGCTCAGATCTCCAAACAATGTTACAGGTGTGACAAATCAGCGGTAGCCAAGAACTTTTCTGTGAATCCCAGTGTTCCCTTCAAAGCCTTTTCCACATTCCTTATGAACTCCAGCATCACATGTATAATTAACTTGCATCTTGTTGGACCACCACCCAGTCTTCAGCAAGTGGATATTCTCTCAACAGTGTGGATGGGGATTAGCTGCCAATTAAGGCCAGGTTTTAAGGAAAATTAGCAATGAGACCAGTATGACAACATCTCATGATCACAGCAGGTTTTAATAGGATCTCTTGAACATTTAAGTCTGTAAGATTCAAGGCAATGCTAGGTAAACTACATTGGCAATAAAACTCCAGCAATTCTGGTTTTAGTCCTACAAAGAACATGCTTGTATTACAGAAACACAGGTACTATGTTTGCATAAAGTAGTCACCATACGTTAGTCTCACCCTTTCCAGTATGATAACAAGCCATCCTGGAGACCCAGGGCAGCCTGCTTGCAGCGAAGACATCATGCTAATGTAACATGCATAAATCTTTTTTCTTCCCTTGGGTTTTCTTTTTTAGATAAAAAGTAGATTTTTAGTGCTCAAGATTCTGTCTTCCAATCTGGCCTCAAAGCTGAATGTAATCTGAACGTATTATGACATCAAAAAGTATTAAAGTTAAATTTTTAAAAAGAGGAGACCATCTAAGGAAATGTTATAGCATCAGTCAGTCTAGAAGCCCATTGTCATATCCATATTCGTAAAACTTTAACTGCTGGGCGACTTAGCAGGAGAGCCTGATGCACTCAACAAACTCTCAACAATGGTCAATAGCAAACTGCTGGAGAAGAGAAATTTGTGCCTTTAAAATGTGCTCTCCACCTCCACCCAACACCCAACTATGTAAAAAGAATGTAATGGTGAGAAATTTCCCTCTCAAATTCGTACCTTCAAGTGATATCCTCTCCATGATCACTACTCTGAATAAACAATACGTTAGGGTTTCTGGGTTTACTTTAGCCTTTTATCAGCTAGGCCGCTTATCAACTGAAGAGACTCATTCGGTGTTTGGAGTCAAACAATACAGTACATGGGATATTTTCCAGGCCTGCGAGGGAGGAACATGACTCTGGTCTCCATTAACCCCTCAATGACCCAGGTTTGGTCAATATGACTGAGTCCCTCCAAGAGCTCCATTCATAGGTGCATGACAACTTCATTTCTGAGTCCCTCTGGACCTTTAGAGATTTCAGGAACATAATGAACAAGCCACTCCGTGACTCGTTCCCAGGCATTAGGTAAGACTACATCAAGATGCAGCATATGCCTGCAATGACAGTACTCAACAGTCTCGCCCACCAACACTAGCACACTGTTCCCACACAAAGAATTGATGGAATCAGATGCTGCCCCCCCAACAAAGCAAAACTGTAGTCGCCCAGCAGTCTACAGAATGTTAGAGAAGCTGCCATTCATGACAAAGAGAAGACTAATTACAATGAAAATAGTCTATCCTTCCCATCTGTACACATGGACCACAGTATTGACTGGTTACTATAAATCAACTTACAACAAGGCCCTTGTTGTTTATAAAATGGTTCACCTGAAACACT